CGCGATCTCTACCTATTCAAGCCCAACAGGCTTACTTTATGGATTTGTTTGGAATTCCTTCGATTAGATTTTAATTTCCAGCTTTGTATCTTTTGACTGAGAGGTCTTGGCCTAGTCCCCCTCTCCTTGTAATTCTCTTATATTAATAAAACCTGGCAAATGACCCCTGACATTTGTCTCACGGATTTTGGTGGTTTGCCTTCCGAGGTTAAAAAAAATATTACTCCCTCTGTCCCAAAATAATCGTCCTGTTTTGACATTCACACAGATTAAGAAAACAAAGTTGACTTCACACTGTAGCGACACTGTTTGGCACTGTAGCGACACTGTTTTGTATAAATTTGTTTACCAAATAAGGAAAAGAGATGATTATTTCGGGACGGATCGAAAAGAAAAGCAGGACAACTATTTCGGGACGGATGGAGTATTTAAATACATTGAAAATCAAAATTTATTCTCCCGGTTCATTTTAGTAATACTCCGTATTTCGTAAGTGGTAATTACCCGTTAGAACCACTTTTGTCTACCATATTTCATTTATGTCCCAGTACATTTTTTCTTTCACTTCCTAACTTTTCCCTTTTCATTTAATGTTGGGAATATTTTATGGTGTTCAATCTAGTTAGTTATCTTTGTATTTATGTAGTTATTAATTAAACGTGTAATACGGGCCACAAATGTGTATCAGCCCGTGGGCTTCCTTGTAACCCGTAAGTTAGCTAACTTCTCCTATAAAAGGAGGCTAACTTACGGGAACCCTAACGATTGAATAGAGGCTTAGAGTTCAGAGGCGTAAAGATAGAGAGATAGGGTTTGCCGCTGCTCTCCTTCTCCAGGGAGAGTAGCGGCGGGTTTTCATACGGTATACCAGATTTGCGTATTATATCTACATATCTTTCTATCTGCTTCTTCTATAACTGCTATGGTTGTATGATTGTTAGTATTCTGGGATTATCATTTAATCTTTTTATTATTTCAAATATAGTTTAAACCACCGGCTCATCCACTCTCCGTCTCTCTGCTTTGTCCCATCGTTTACCGCACCCAGTCTTCACTCTATGGCAGACGAATGCTATTTCAATGGCAGACAAGGAGTCACCGTCATTGCTCGCTCTGCTAGCACGCATCCCGCCATCAGCACCCTGCGGTTGTGCATCCCATCTCAATCGATCGGCCGATTTCTGCTTTGATCACCATCGTCCACCAGGTCTATCGTTTATCTTCATCCCCTTCTTCCAAGTTGAGAGTCATCTCTCTCAGAATCATCGCCGGCTTCTTCCAGATTGGAAAAGGTTAGAAAACAACGATGATCAAATTCATTCTGAATTGTGACGCTCTCAACTGGTGTAACATTTTCCCCACAGCCCTAATCGACCATCGTAATTGATTTTTTCGTGGACAAGTTGGTTGAATTCAAAATAAGGTTCTACTTTCCGAATTATAAAGCTTTGAGAAGCATTTTCAATACATGTCATTTATGATTCCAGGAAGGCTTTTTAATCTCAAATTGACTCATCCAGACTCGCAATATTTGTTTGATTTTTTGAATTTTTAGAGGAAAAGTACATTCAACTGTAGTAGTGAGAGAGGATAAGAGTTTATTCATACAATGACAAGAGGAAAAATGAACTGATGTATCAAACTGAAGAGACGATGAACCAACCGCTAGTGGCATTTCATAGAGGTGATCATTTATCTATATATTTCTATAGATTGCTTTTACTTCTATTTTATTCACTGATAGTTTTGTGATTTTGTCTTGTCTAATACTATGTATGTTTTGCATCCACTCGATTTCTCACCTTAATTTGTAACCAGATCAAATGGAAGCCCAACAGATGAAATTCCATGGAAAATCAAAGCATCAATTCTCCATTCTGTTCAAACACATCATGTCGTTCTAAGATCTATAGCAGTTTGCCAATATGAGTGCAGTATTTTCACAGCAGGTCGGTGGTTTTGCAAGTTTCCTAGGATTAGTTCATACATGGAAGTTTTCAAGGTTGGACCCTGTCTCCAGCTTCTATATCCATGAACATGTGCTCTTCATTTGTATTACTGTTTATATGTTATTTCAATTAATAAGTGTTTGCTTTGAACCTCACCTACGCTGTTAACATTCAACACAACTAACTTGTAATGAGGATAATACACATTATAGACTTAATTACATTTATTCTTCATCTTTCTTCCAGGTTGTGAATGATATTAGTATATCAACGTCCTCCAATAGAATAACTTCTTGTGATAAGATTGTACATGTTTGAAATGGACAAACTGGGAAGGCTTGTTTTTAACTTGTAACCAGATATAATTTGTAACCAATAGTATTCATTAAATACTATAATATGTTACTTTTATTTTTATTTTTTGTTGCTTTTTGTTTCATTGTGTAGCTTTTTGTTGCGCCTTATGTGTTTCTTTTTTATTCTTTTTGTTGTGTCGTGTAGCTTTTTGTTTACTACTTTTAATTTTTAATTTTGTTTTTGTTTTTTCATGTTTATGTATGTTTCACCATTTAGTTTTTTTTACAATAACTCTTTATACATATATGTGTGTGCCACTGTGTGCATAAATGTATGTATGCACCCACACATATAATAATAAAGCTACACTTAGGAAAATTAAAAACAATAAAAACATAGATAAACATTAAAACATAATTTGGAATTTATCAACAAAAGCAATACGTTGAAACAACCTGCAACAAAATAATCATAATACGTTTTACTTGCATGTATTTAACGTATTTATTCATTGGATACTATAATATGTTACTTTTTTTTATTTTTTGTTGCTTTTTGTATCATTGTGTAGCTTTTTGTTTTGCCTTATGTGTTGCTTTTTGTTTCTTTTTGTTGTATTGTGTAGTTTTTTGTTTACTACTTTTAATATTTTATTTTATTTTTGTTTTTCATGTTTATGTATGTTTCAACTCTTAGTTTTATTTTTTTGTTTACAATAACTCCTTATACATATATGTGTGTGCTCCACTATGTGCATAAATGTACGTATGTATGTAATAGAATAGCTTTAATTTATCTTCTTCCAGGTTGTGAATGATATTAGTATATCAACGTCCTCCAATAGAATAGCTTCTTGTGATAAGATTGTACATGTTTGGAATGGACAAACTGGGAAGGCTTGTTTTTAACTTGTAACCAGATATAATTTGTAATCAATAGTATTCATTAAATACTATAATATGTTACTTTTATTTTTATTTTTTGTTGCTTTTTGTTTCATTGTGTAGCTTTTTGTTGCGCCTTATGTGTTTCTTTTTTATTCTTTTTGTTGTATCGTGTAGCTTTTTGTTTACTACTTTTAATTTTTAATTTTGTTTTTGTTTTTTCATGTTTATGTATGTTTCACCATTTAGTTTTTTTACAATAACTTTTTATACATATATGTGTGTGCCACTGTGTGCATAAATGTATGTATGCACCCACACATATAATAATAAAGCTACACTTAGGAAAATTAAAAACAATAAAAACATAGATAAACATTAAAACATAATTTGGAATTTATCAACAAAAGGAACACGTTGAAACAACCTGCAACAAAATAACCATAATACGTTTTACTTGCATGTATTTAACGTATTTATTCATTGGATACTATAATATGTTACTTTTTTTTATTTTTTGTTGCTTTTTGTATCATTGTGTAGCTTTTTGTTTTGCCTCATGTGTTGCTTTTTGTTTCTTTTTGTTGTATTGTGTAGTTTTTTGTTTACTACTTTTAATTTTTTATTTTGTTTTTGTTTTTCATGTTTATGTATGTTTCAACTCTTAGTTTTATTTTTTTGTTTACAAGAACTCTTTATACATATATGTGTGTGCTCCACTATGTGCATAAATGTACGTATGTATGCACCCACAGATATAATAATAGTAATAAAGCTACGCTTAGGAAAATAAAACACAATAAAAAATATAAATAATCATTAAATCAAAATTTGGAAATTCTTCAACAAAAGCAACACATTGAAACAATCTGCAACAAAATAACCACAATACGCCTTTGTAATAATAAATATTTTTTGTAAATAAAAAATATCAATTAAAAGATTTATACTATTTACATTTTTATAATTTAAAACATTTCTACCTTTTATTCATTCTAACTTTTCCATTTTTTTATCTACGAGAATTTATTTTTTACAATTTTCTAAATCACTTTTCACCCTTTTTAGTGTTTTTAAGTTTGTTTGAAGTTATTTTATTTTAATTTTGTTTTTTAACAATTTATTTTTTATTTTATATTTATTTTTTTTAACGATAAAAAAACAATTTTTTTAAATTGTATTTACATGAATTTTATGTTTTCCTACTTGTTTTTTAAATATTACTTCTTAAAAAATTGTAATTATTTTTATTTTCTAAATTTGATTTTTTGTTTATAAAGTTTTAAATATTTTGAAAGATTTTAGATTAAAAATTAATCGTTTTTCAATATTTCAGAAATGCTTCTTTTCTTAACATTTATATTTTCCCCTTTTTACTGAAAAGTCATAAATTTAGAATTTTACAATATATGTATATATATAAAATTCTGCATAATATACTGCATAATATATATATATATATATATATATATATATATATATATATATATATATTATGCAGTATATGAACTCTTTTTACAATTTCCCAGATTTTAAACTTTTTGTAAAAAATCATTTTTATTTTGACTTTTGTATTTCTAATTTTTTGTTCTTTTTTTATATTTTCCGAATTTATTTTTCAAAATCAAAATTTATTTTAAAAATTTTTAAATTCAATTTAAGAGTTTTCAACTTTGATTTTTTTTATCGTTCCATTTTTTATTTTTTCTTAAATTGAGTATTTTCTGTTTCTCTAGAAAATTTTCCAGCTATTTTCATCTTTTCTACATTTTACGAATTTTTACATTATTTTATATTTAAAAACAAGAATTGAATCAATTTTAGAGTTTGTAGTGAGTATCAAAGATGGTGTAGCCGTATAGACCATAAAGTTGGAATGCATGTGCACCTCTTAGGAATGTAGATTCCTGTAGCCAGTAAGAGGTTTCATAGATATTAGCTATTTGTGAAAAGAAAATTAGAATTAGTCTAGAAATTTTAAAAACTGAAAAAATTGATTATTTTTATTTTTTGGACTACGGGTGAAAAATTCCATTTCGTAATGGCCCCAAAACAATCAACCCAAAGCTATCATCTTCCTGACTCTTAGGCCTAATCATTCCTCTGTAATGGAAACCCAAGCAATTTTCCTAATCCTAATTCTATTATCCACGATCCGGTTAAGCAGTGCCGATGGAGGCGAATGGTCCGGCGCTCACGCGACTTTCTACGGAGGCGCTGATGCATCTGGTACTATGGGTAAGACCCAGAAAACAATGAACACGGGGAAGTTCACCTCTTGCTAATGTTTGATTACTGGATGGGGATTTGGTGCAGGTGGAGCTTGCGGCTATGGAGATCTGTACGGCGAAGGATACGGGGACGGAAATGCTGCTTTGAGCACCGCCCTATTCGAAGACGGGCTGAGCTGCGGTGCTTGTTTTGAAATCAAGTGCGTCGACGACGGCGAGCAGTGTTTTCCGGGCTCGATTCTTGTGACGGCTACAAATTTCTGCCCTCCCAGTTCACTGCCCAGTGATGCCGGAGGATGGTGTAATCCTCCATTGAAACACTTTGATCTGTCCCAGCCTATTTTCCAGCACATTGCGCAGTACAGAGCTGGAATTGTCCCCGTTCAGTACAGAAGGTACGAGTTTTTTTTTCTTTTTTCAAATAAATGCTCAGTTAAGAATATGTTTTTCCCAAAATATAGGATTGCAGAGTTTTAGAATAAACTGTTTTTTTAGAATAAAAGTTATCCTGTTTTCCTAAAAAGGGTAAACTACAGTCATATTGAAACATCAGACATTAAAACAGGTCAGTGCATTAAAAAGATGAAACTATTAACTACAAGTATGATTTTAGTATGTCAACCAATACTTGCTCCTATATATTCTAAAGGTTGACTAATTTCTATTTTCTATGTTCTTTATCAATACAATGAGAACCGTTAAATATAAATGGGAATTCTATAAAATTAAAAATGCTCCACATTTATAAAACGCATGAATACTAGAGTACAAGAAAAATAAATATTCTTATGGACAAGATGAATAATAATTAAGAAAATTATAAAATATGACACTGGATTTAAGCATCTGGATATAACTTAGGTGCACATGTCATGAAATTCTCACATGTTAAACCTATAGGATCTATAATACGTTGTATCTTTTATCTCTTCCAATTTCTTTTTTTGTCTAGTGGATCTTATTTGAGATGGTTTCACAGATAATTTGTGTAAAACTTGCCTCTTTTCACCTCAAAGCTAATAAACACTTTTAGAGTGTACACCGCTCATTTTTCATAATCACCCGTGATAGTTTTGTAATGTGATAGTTTTTTTAGCTTGCTTTAAAATGTCATAGTTTTGTATCCAAAAAGGTGACAGTCTGACAGATATCATATTTATCAAGATCGGATTTCATCTTAGAGGTGAAGACATAACGTTTCCACAAGATGATGACTTATTGAGGCAGATCAATCTTGATATTTATGTTCTCTTTGAGTCATATGGATTGTTTATTTTAGCTGAATTAGCTTTAATAAAATACTCCGTATTAAACTCGAAAATTCATCTGAAAAGGCCACCTTTGTAAGATGAGTAGCCCCAAATGTGAGTTTGTATTTGCTCAGTATATGACGACTTCATACTCATCCATTGAGGTTTACTCAAGTTTTCGCCTTAATCACAATCAATTACAAATGACTCTATTTCAAATTCTGCTGCTTCACTAATACTGTCATGTTTTCCCCAAGACCCCGACCCAATCATATTGCCATTCCTAACCAAGTACAGAGGAGTTCTGCTAAACTTGAATGGCTCAAAATGGTAATAGGGTTCCTTGCAAAAAGAGTGGCGGCATCAAATTCGCGATAACAGGTCACTCCTACTACAACCTGGTACTGGTAACTAACGTAGGAGGCGCAGGGAATGTTGTTCATGTCTCCATCAAGGGATCCAACACCAGTTGGTTACCAATGTCTCACAATTGGGGCCAAAACTGGCAAAGCAACGCATACCTGGATGGACAAGCACTGTCTTTCGAGGTCACGACCAGTGATGGCATCTCTATAGTCTCCGAGAATGTGGCTCCTGCGAGTTGGTCTTTCGGTCAGACATTTACTGGTGGACAGTTTTCCAGTGCACCCTCCCCTGGTTCACAGCAACCCACTCGCGAGCCCAACGGACAGCAACCCACTCGTGAGCCCTACGGACAGCAACCCACTCGTGAGCCCTTCAGTGGCCCGTCTACAGGTAACCAATCACCTGCTTCGAATTCATTGTCAACAATCAGAGTCAGGTGTCTTAATTTTTTGGGACTTCTTATAGCTTTTGTAGAAGCAAGGACACTCTTTTGGTTGCATTTTCTTTAAAGAGGGGTGTTCAAATATTGCAAACTAGCATGTATATACAGAAAGATCTTGAGCTAAGCATTTTGTTTGCTGAATAAGTTTCTTACCTTGTATGACTGGTAAAGGACTGGTTCCTTGTTACTATGTTTTCATTTTTTTGGTTCTATAGTTTTAGAAGTATATATTCCGTAATATGGAGTATATATCTTGTAAGAAGTATATACTCCGTAATACGGAGTACATATCTTGTAATGAACTAAAAAAATCACACTTATAGTTTTGAGAACTGCCAACAAGAAATTGAAAAGCATTTGTACTTGTTTTCAGAATTGTTAATATAATTTTCAAAACATAATGAACAAAATATGGAATACGATACCGAATAGTTTTAGAAAATGATTTGTTTTAGTAAAATTTAGTAATGTAGTTAAAATGGATGAATGAGTTGAATTTGCTGAAATTGTCATTGAATTTTCCAAAGTTAAAATACAAAAGCTGTAGGGTAGTAGCAGACTAGCAGCTTGTGTTGACGATATGTCCACATTAACATTAATATTTTACCAAACTTAGAAATATAAAAAAAAAAAACCACAGCACATAAAGGGATTATTAAGATCAAACCATTAACCATGAAAGACATGCATGGAGCATTTGGTAACCATAAAACATTTCTGTTTCAGTACTTTCAGTTTTGAGTTTATTTTCTTAATTCTATTTGTCATTTGTGGGACTATTTATCTTATGTGTGTGTAATTAATTTATTTATCTATGATCATGAACCACTATTGTGCATGTAATTCTATTCTATTCTATTGTCATTATATGAGTCACTCACTAAGACTAACCATCATTAGCCATTTATTTTGAATCATTCCATAGCATGTTCAGCTTAACCCATTTGATTCCAGAGCTTACCCAATGGGCCCGTCCTCTTCCATTTTAAATGCGCAACTACCTAAAATCCATTTTTATATCACAACTCTTCATCAAAAACCTTTTTAATTTTTAAATAGATGGAGAAAGTGGGTCTTTATTCAAATATTTTTAGTATTGCTGAAATTACCCGTGATCTAGGACTCAATTAAGTAGGCCGGGCTGGAATTAATTTTAACACTTTGAAACTAAGGTTGTTTTTACTTGGATTTAAATTAGTCACACATTAGACCAGATTAGATAGATATTAACCAGATCAGATTTGAAAAATTCAGTCTAAATAAAAACATTCTAAAAGCTAAAAGTTAGGAGATGAGTGTTTTAAACTACTTTTCACTTTTCTATTATAGTAGTACACAAAATATTATTTTATTAATCACTACCAATTTTTCCAAAATCATTTTTCTTAAACACTTGACTTTTACTACAGGGATATTAAGCATGTTTTATAAAATCACTTCAAAATTCATTTTTTATGTACAAGCAAGTATAAATTAAACCACCTGTGATCGATTAGAAAAACTCACGAAACTCATTGAAAAGTAAATCCATTTACCATAAAAAATAACTTAAGTTCACTGGCAAAAGATGCCACAAAAATTTGGCAAAAAAACAATCTAATTAACAGCTGAAGTTTTAAATTTGGAATAGCATGCCAATATTTCTAGTCTATTTTCTCCATTAAACTAATGAGAAAAACAAATTAACAAAACAGAAAGTAATGAGATCAAAACTTTTCGAGACATAAAAAACTCATAAACAATTGTCTCTTCTCCCAACTAGTTGATGGTCAATATCTCTATCGTGCCTTCTCCGGCGAGGCGGAGCACCACAACAATGTCACCGGAGTGGCAGAGCTTATTATCCTTTGCGTATCCAAAGGCTGGATCTGCCACATCACTGCAATCCACAATCATCCTGACTATTTTCAATTCAGTGCAAGAAATCGGGAATATCCCTCGGTGTATCAGTCCGTGTCCCACCGGAGCATCGTCGGAGCTCACCACCGACAGAATGGGCATGCCAGGTCTATACTTCGCCACCAATTTGGCTGCGCCGCCGTCATCGGAGAATACAACAATTAGGGCAGCTTTAATAGAACTCGCTGCCTGGACGGCAGAGCAGGCCAAGCTTTCCTCTGAACTCATCGGCGCCGGAGAATTTTCCAAGGCCTTGTTGAAAACCACCTGGTAATTGATGCACTTTTCAGCTTCTGAGCAGATATTAGCCATGGTTCTCACGGCCTCTTCCGGGTATGCGCCAGCCGCCGTCTCGCCGCTGAGCATGACGCAATCGGTTCCGTCTAAGACGGCGTTTGCAACATCCGTAGCCTCAGCGCGCGTGGGGCGTGGGCATTTGGTCATCGATTCCAACATCTGCGTCGCCGTGACAACTGCCTTGCCGAGCACGTTACACTTGCGGATCATTACTTTCTGCGCAAGAAATATCTTCTCAATTGGAATTTCCATCCCCAAATCACCCCTGGCCACCATGAAAGCATCTGAATTCTCCAGGATCCCATCCAAATTATCAATGCCTTCCTGATTCTCAACTTTTGACATGATCACAATGTTCTTGGCGTGCTCCCCAAGCAACTCCTTCACCATGACTACATCAGATCCTTTACGAACAAAAGACAAAGCAATAATGTCAATCTTATTAGGAACTCCCCATCGGAGAATGTCCTCCTTGTCCTTCTCTGTCAATGTTGGCAGATCCACGACCACGCCCGGGAGATTCACGTTCTTCCGTTCTCCCAACACGCAAGTGTTCTCGCACCGGCACCGAACTCGGCCCGACTCCTCGTTGCATTCCAACACCGTCAATGTGACTGTTCCGTCTGAGCAGAGGATTGTACTACCCGGAGAGACGTCGGTTGCAAGCTTGTGATAGGAGACAGCGATTAGGGTTTCGTCCCCGAGGACGGAATAGTCACTGGTGATTGTGATCTCTTGGCCTTGTTGTAAATGGATAGATTTGCCGTCTTTGAGAAATCCGGTTCTAATCTCTGGACCCTATCATTCATAAGAACATTTAAAATTAATTATTACTCTCACTTAGGATTAGCAAAAAAGTTATTTAGATGAATCAGACAATGAAATATATTAGTACTAATATAAATTATACTCCGTATATTTAAATATTAAATAATATAAACTGGTTGTGATTGTAAATAAAAACACAAGCACTACTATAAATTTATACGTAGTAATATCAGCATTACTAATATGTAGTAGGGAGTATTTGATTATTTCGGTATTAAGGGTTAAATGATTTTTTAAATAACATACTACGTACACTTATTAATAATTACACTGATTATTGCGAATAGTAAATCGACTGTTAATAGAACCACTCTTTTAATTGCTCAGTAATATTTAATTTCGACTTATTTGCACCTGATTATTCTTAGTAGGGAAAAAGGGGCAAATAAGCCCTCGAACTGACCGAAAAGTGCAAATCACCTCTTTCGGTTAGTTCGGGGACTTATTTGCACCTCTTTCTTAGAGCATCTCCATTCATGATCTTAAAATAAACGATTTTCGATTACACGTCATTGTCACATCACATTTATTCAATAAATCTCAAATAATCTCAAGTCTTAAAATTCTTCATTAACCATGATACTCAAATAATTAGATATTCTAGATCATGCATTAAATGCATTTTAACTACAATCTAAAATAAGCCGGGATTCAAATCTTGATACTGGATTTTCTTTTTCAATAATCTCTCTAAATAATCTCTCACTCACAATGATGATCCGTAAAACAATCTTACACATCATTCAATTAAACTTTAAATAATCTCATGGATGGGGATGCCCTTATAGGATGGGCACTACTCGATCTAAATCGGATTAGGAGAATAATCACTAAAAATCAACCTATGGTTTGTTTTAATTCAATTACATGTGGATTTGTAATTTTTTTAAAAGCACTATGGTTTTAATAATTTTGTTAATTCGGTTCAGTTCTGTTGATTTTTCAATAATGGTTAACAAGTTCAATTTAGAAGGAAAATTACCCCAAATTCTACTCGAATCACACACTGTTTTGTAGGGTTTCAGTTTTCTTGAGTATTGGGTTTGGTTCGGCCAAACCGACTGAAAATGCGAACCCTAAGTTTTATAATGATATATCCATCTATAACGAACAATTAAAAACATAATCATATTTATAAAAAATAATGTTAATTACCTTTAAACATCCCAAGGTAAACTTAAATCAAAGATTTGGCGATTTTTCGGTCTTTGAAAAACTGACAACGTAAAGCAAATACCAGATCAACCCTAAGTTTTTCATATTCGAAATTAGTGAAAAAAATGTTGTATCATAAATAATTGATATTACGATGTTCTGGAAAAATTATAACAACGATTAATTATCAAGAATGAAACTATATACTATTTATCTCAAGTCTCAACTACTTAAAAAGAGATAGAGAAACTATATACAATAATATGTTGCACTTATTTAAGAACGGAAGTAGTATATGATTAAAATATCGAAAAATACCTTAGTGTCGAGCATGACGGCGCAAGGGATAGAGGTGTTACGCACGGCGATTCGAAGGTTGTCGAGAGTTTGTTGGTGGTATTCATGAGATCCATGAGAGAAGTTGAAGCGGGCTACGTTCATGCCGGCGACGAGAAGCCGTTGTATCATCTCGACGGACTGAGACGTCGGCCTGAGCGTGCAAACGATCTTCGTCTTCCGGTTCATTGTCCGATTACTCGCCGGAAAAGTATCATCAGCCTTTGAATTCATAAGGATCAAGTCAGCAATGGGACTGCTGAAAACATCACATTCCTTTGCCGCCGCTATGGAATCAATCTCAGAAACCTTTCGCTTTTTTAGGCTATTGGAAGTCGGCATTGTTATGAACTGAAAAGGAGAGCTGGAAAAGCGCTGGACAAGTACGTTATACGAATGAGGGTGCGGTATTTATTTATAAGTAACAAAGGAATGGGTTCTTATAGGACTCGGATTTATGGAAATTCGGGTCTTAATTAGCTTCTTGATATAACAAATTCGGGCCTTGTTGTATAAGGATTATTTAAAGCCCTAGAATCTTACGCATCTTACTTTTGACTACTAGGTGTAGATTTGGAAAGGTCATATATTGTTACCTGCCTAAAATTTGAAGTAGAAATATAATAATTTCATATAATATAATACATATTAATATATTTCCTAATCCTTAAGCTCGAGTGATATGCGTTATTATACTATAATTTAAGGTAATTATCTATTTTAAAAAGTAAAACAAAAATTGTAAAGATCAAGAGCGGAATAGAGATTATTTTGATTATTAATTTTTCGTATTACATTGTATAATAAATACAAAGAACTACGTTGGCTTTAATTTCTCTTATCATTATAAAGAAAATTGATGGGGTTATGGGACCAGGCCCAGAGCCAAATCGGCCCAGGCCCCGAATTTGGACCAGCGGGCCCAAGCCCAGCAACCTAGAGCTCGAGTCGGCCCAACCAATCAGGGCAATCAAGGAGCGGAAGCCCAAGAGAGCCTGTCGACCAGCCCAGCGGGGAGCCTGCCTTCCAGCCCAACGGGGAGCCTGCCTTCCAGTCTACCCGGGAGACTGCCTTCCAGCCTACCCGGGAGCCTGCCTTCCAGCCTAGCCAGGAGCCTGCCGACCACCAGCCCAGCTGGGAGCCTGCGGTCCAGCCCAACTGGGAGCCTGCGCTCCAGCCCAACTGGGAGCCTGCGGTCCAGCCCAGGTGGGAGCTTGCCTCCAGCCCAACGGGGAGCCTGCCTTCCAGCCTACCCGGGAGCCTGCCTCCAGCCCGGTCAGAAGCCTTCCTCCAGCCTAGCGGGAAGCCCACCGTCCAGTCTAGCAGGAGGGAGCTCAAGCGTCCAGCCTGTCAACCAGGCTGACCTGCCAGCCAGGAAGAGTAACGGCCAACAATCAATGCGCGACTTAATTATGTGTTTAATTCCGTATTAATGTTGTAATTAATTTAGTCATTATTATGTTCGGCAGTTACCATTTGTAATCGCCTATGAAAGGCAATTCGAATTTCAAATACAGATATGCTATTTCTGGCTAACTTTCCGTATTCGTACTTTCCTAATTCTTGCTTGAGTGTCGTACGTAGCTTTCCTAAAAGCCTACGAGCGTCCTATTTTGGACCAACATTGGTGCTTTCATTGAGAGCCTCTATTGTCTCTCACATAACTTGAGTAGGAATCAGACAGGAAGATGGCCGGAATCTCGTCTCGACGTGACCATGTCTCAGTCCACACCGAGGAGTCCGCCCGGTCTGGCCACCAGCGTGCCCTCGACAACCATGCACAGGGCAGGAGGGCGGCGCGCCAAGGCGACCTTCGGAACCAATTATCAGGCCACGACGACCTAAGGGCGACGCTCAACCACACCCAAGGTGAGCGCTCGGTCCGCAGCCGGCGGGGGGGGGGGGGGGGGGGGGGGGAGGCCGACGTCATGCTCCGCGCATGGACCCGACTCGACTCAATGCCGGGGTGGAAGCCCTGCAGGAGGCAACTCGGGTTCTGGGGACCTTGGCTCAAAATTTCCAACAGATGGTGTCTGGCGGAAATGTGGATGAGCCTGCCCGTCAACAGACGCCAGCGGATGTGGAGGTGTCCTCCAGGCGGCGTGATGAGCGACGTTCTGGATCCAACCAAAACAGGGGGGAAGAAGTCTCCCATCGGCGGGGGGAAGAAGTCTCCCAGCAGCCTAGCCGACCCCATCGGCAGACGGGGAGGGGCGCCCAGTAGGGGCGCCCAACACAGATGGAAGGAGGCGAGCCCTCTCGCCACTCTCACCGGGCGAGCAGTCAGGCTGGCTCCACGGAGAGGCAAAACGTGGGGCCCCGACCTCACGTGCACGGACGACTTGGAGGTGCCGCCGGATATGCCCAGCCCCGCGCTGGAGCTGTCCGGGGGAACCCACCGCCGGCCGAGGTGGAAGATCTACGACAGCGCCTTGACGAGTTGAGAAGGAGGGTCGTCGGGGGGGAGCCCTACACGGCCGACCTCCGGATACCCGAACCCTTCACCCGGGCGGTCATGGATGCGCCATTGCCGAGGGGCTACAAGCCATGCGCCATTGAAGCATACAAGGGCGCTTCTGACCCCCAGCATCATGTATCTCGGTACCTTTCCTACATGGTCATGATGGGGTACGAGGACGCCATCCGATGCCGCGGTTTCTCCGCCACTTTGGATGGCCCGGCTCGTGAATGGTATGACTCTCTACTCGATGGGAGTATCACGAATTTTCGTGAGTTGGCTCAGCGCTTTCTCTTGAGGTTCGCGAGCTCCCGAGACGTCAAGAAAAACTTCAGCCACCTGTTCGGCCTAAAACAGGGGAAGAAGGAATCATTGTCGACCTTCCTATCGAGGTGGAGGGCCGAGTCAGTCAAGGTCCAGGGCCTTGATGACAGGACCGGGGTGGCCATGCTCACAAACTCTATCCGATCGGGTGAGCTTTACAAAGATTTCGTCAGAAGTCCCCCCACCTCGTACGAGGAGGTGCTCGGCCGTGCCGACCGGCAAACCGAGGCGGAGGACGCCTTGCAGAGGAAAAGAGATGAGGAAGAAGGTGCAAAAGAAGAAAAGAAGAAGGAAGCCGGTTCGGGTGCTGAGAAAGCTGACGGCAAAGCTAGCAACAAAAACCACAAGTACAAAGGTAACAAAAGTAGAGGCAAGGGCAAGGCGGACGTCCCGAGCGGACCGCTACAGTCCGTCAAGCAATTGACTCCACTTGCTCAGCCGGTCGGGGCCATCCTCGACTACGCGGAGGAGCAAGGTTTAGTCGACTTTCCGGAGGAGTGTGATGTGGTGACTGCCAAGCGCAACCACGACCAATATTGTCGATTCCATCGGAGAGCAGGGCATGATACAGATGATTGTGTCATTCTCCGGCGGCAAATAGAAGAACTCATCCAGAAAGGGTACCTGGGCCAATTCGTTGGCAAACAAGGAGGCATCCCGCAGAAGAGGAGCCTGACGTGGCAGCGGTCCGACCAAGCTACCACGTCAAAGGAGACACCGCCTGCCAAGAAGCGGGAGCTCGGCGCCTTCTCCGAGGAAGACAATGCCGACCTAGGGAACGGCCCCCGGAAGTACCATCGATGTTCATTCATATTCGGGGGACCCCAGGGAGGCGACACCTCTGGAGAGCGGAAGCAGTGGGCCCGAGCCCTATACGTGGGGGAGATAACCAGGGCTCCCGCCGACAAGAGGGTGAAGAGGGACCCCATCTTCTTCACCGACGCAGATTTGCCATTGATGCCTCCGCCACACAGGGATGCCTTGGTCATCAAGGTCGAAATCAACGACACGATCGTCCACCGAGTCCTGGTGGACAATGGGAGCTCCGTTAACATCATGTACTATGACACCTTCCAAGGTCTCGGGCTGGACCGAAAAGACCTTATCCCGGTGAGAACCCCACTCTCGGGCTTCACCGGGGACTCCATTAAGTCGGAGGGCAGCATAGTCCTCCCCGTGATGGTGGGCTCCGAGCCCTGCGTATCCAAGTTAGACGTCGAGTTTATCATCGTACGCCTAACTTGTGCGCATAAGATCATCATGGGAAGGCCGGCCCTGGAAGACCTCAGATGTGTGATATCCTAGGAGCACCTATGCATGAAGTTTCCCACTCCGAATGGCGTCGGAGTTGCCAGGGGAGATCAGCGAATGGCGAGGAGCTGCTATCTGAAAGCTTGTAAACGAATCGGTCAAAAAGACTTGAGGTTCCACACTATCAACAACAAAGCCATGAAGTATGAGGAGGGTCAGCTCCGCGCTGAACCCACCTCAGAAGTGGAGGAGATCCAGATTGACCCCGAGAGGCCGGAGCGGAAGGTCAAGATCGGGACCGGGCTCCCGGCCGGCTTGAGGGAGAAGATTATCCAGGTACTTGTCCTTTTTAGCGTTGTGGGGACCGAAGGACATGCCTGGCCTTGACCGAAGCATCGCTGTCCATCGGCTGGCGGTCAATCCAACAGCGAAGCCCATCCAGCAGAAAAGAAGACACCTCTCAACCGAGAGGAGGGAATTCGTGAAGAAGGAGGTCGACATGCTCCTGAGTATCAAGCATATCCGGGAGGTCTTGTACCTGGTCTGGCTGGCAAATGTGGTCCTGGCCCCGAAGCCACCAACCAGGAGGATGTGTGTTGATTACATCGATCTCAACAAGGCATGTCCGATGGATCCATTCCCATTGCCTAACATCGACCAACTAGTCGATGGGACGGCCGGATGTGAGCTCCTTAGCTTCATGGACGCTTTTCGAGGATACCATCAGATTTTCATGCATGAAGAAGATGCGGAGACGACCTCATTCGTCAACCCAGAGGGGATTTTTTGTTATCTTGTCATGGCCTTTGGGCTGAAGAACTTTGGGGCGATGTACACGAGGATGGTGGCCAAGGTATTCCGGAAGGTGCTCGGAAGGAACATGGAGGCGTATGTTGACGACATGATCGTCAAGAGCACCCGGGCATCCGATCATGCAGATGATTTGGCAGAGATCTTCGGGATCATGAAGGTAGTCCGTCTGCGCCTGAACCCGAAGAAATGTACCTTTGCCGTCCAAGGAGGCAAGTTCCTGGGGTACATGGTCACACGGAGGGGGATTGAGCCAAATCCTGAGAAGGTAAGGGCAATACTTGACATGGAACCCCCGAGGTCGGTGAAAGAAGTCCAGATTCTCACCGGCCGGCTAGCAGCCCTTGGACGCTTCATGTCCAAGTCCGCCGAGAAGTCCCTACCCTTCTTCCAGGTCCTAAAGAAACAAAATGGTTTTGTCTAGAATGATGAGTGTCAGCGAGCCTTCGACGACCTGAAGAAGTACCTCCTCTCTGAGCCTTTACTCAGCAAGCCGGAGAGGGGGGAGATGTTAATCCTTTATCTTGGGGTTTCCCAAGGCGCAATCAGTTCCGTTCTGGTTCACGAGGAGGAAGGCGTTCAGCGTCCCGTCTACTATGTGAGCAAGACCCTCCAGAATGCTGAGCTCCGGTACACCCCGCTCGAGAAGACAATATATGCCGCCTACATCACCGCCAAGAAGTTGACACACTACTTCCAAGCGCACCCGATCAGAATCCTGTCGGACCAACCCCTAGGTGCCGCTCTGAGGGCGCCCGGCACAACCCGGGTAGTGAAGTGGTCGATGCTCCTCAACCAATATGAGGTTGACTTCCAGAGGGAGGTAAGCTCTCCGTCAAGTGGGAAGGCCAGCAGGCCGACAGAGGGAGGTAAGCTCTCTGTCAAGTGGGAAGGCCCTTACGTGGTTGACGCAGTGATCGGCCCTGGGACATACAAGTTGAAGACAACAACAGGCCGGTTGGTAGACCGCGTCTGGAATGCCGAGCACCTGATGAAGTTTTACCAGTAGAAAATTAAAGTTTCACTCTTCTTTGTAAACTTCTGTGCTCCGAGCACGGGATTACAATTTGTAATTCTTCATGTGGTCCGCCCACATCATGAATTCAATATACTTTGCTAGCGATATTTTGTCATCAAAAGAGGTCAGACCTCACTTAGCAAAAAAGGGCGGCGGCAAAAAAAAGGTACTATGCCCCCCCTCGGTGTTTGGCCGACCTCGGCCAGGCTCTTTAACCGAAAATAGCCAAGCGATTTTCAAGAATTCGGGCAATTTTCTAAAGTAAAGAGCTAGCCGCGACAGTCGAGGCGACGGTAGGGCCGGCCTCCGGGTCGAGGGTACTCAGGATGCTGACCTCCGGGTCCTTTCGAGTGCTCGCCGCCTAACATCGCTGGCCAAGCAGCTCGCACTCTCGTCATCCCTGAGTTGGCGGTGCGGGTTTGTTCTGGTGGATCATGTAGGGTCCGCCCCTGTTGTTTGGCTATCCATGCGGGAGTAACCAGATTATTCCCCAAGTCCGGGCAAACTGGACGGGTTAAAGTGACAGTAGGACTGACCCTCGGGTCATGAACGTTTAGGATACCGACCTAAGGGTCTTCCTCGTCGGTTCAATGTCCGACCTTGCTGGCCAAACAAGTCGCTTACTTGTTGATTCCATATCAATAGCGAACAGATCACTTCTACCCAACTAGGAGGGGCACGGATAGGCTCGGCCACGCCAGCCTAACCGCCCCTCGGGAGGTTAGAGAAGCCAGATCCCCGAATAAATTGCTAAGTATTCGTAATGCAAAGTATAGAAAAGGAGGCGTATGAAATAAAAATCAAACATCCACAAAGTATTCAAGTGGGAAACAAAGGAAATACAAAATACAAGGTCACGGCTGGACAGACCCATCGCCATCAACCTCGGGAATGTCATCTAACACACCAACCAAGTCCTGGCCAGGGGCCACAGGAGTCATGTTCCCTGGAGCTGGCGGAAAGAACCAGGCCCATTCGTTAGAACTACCAAGCTCCTCCTCCTGACGGACAGCCTCTGGGGGAAGAAGGGCTATCGCCTCCACGGGTTTCTTCATGCGGCCAGGAAGGCCCAGTGTGGATGGATGAAAGTCAGGGTTGAGATCCTTCAACCGGCCATACACCTTCTGCTGCATCAAATACTTGCCACTCTGAAAAGCATAGAGGATTTCGCGAGCGCGCCAATACTCTCCGTCGGGGGTCGTCAGCCACCTATGCACTAGTTCAGACTGTTCCGCTTGCACCCTCGCAGAGATGAGCTTCTGGAACTGCTCGGAGGCCTGGAACTCGGAGAGCGCTTTCTTGGCTCCTTGTTTGGCCGCTTCTTCACATTCTTGTGTACGCGAGGACTGCAGCTCGGAGAAGGCTTTCTGGCTGGCCCACAGGGCAGCCCTAACTTCGTCAGCCTCACGCTGAAGCCTGGCCTGAGAATGATTGGCTGCGTGGAGTGCCCTGATGGTCTTGGCGAGCCCCTGCAAAATAGACAAACAAAAATGTGAGGGGGTTCAGGGATAAACACAATCCACACCAAAACGTGATCAACCTACCTCGATATGTGACCAGATAGAACCCTCCAAGAGGGGATGAAACTCTTGGGAAGTCGTACAGGTGAGGTCGCCTGGTGGGAGGATTTATGAAGCATAATCCACGACCGGGAAGCCTTCATGCATAATCGAGGCACTCGAAGATGGGAAGGCGTAAGTAACTGTATGCTGGGTGTCATGGTTGCTCCGTTCGGCCATCCTCTCATCTGCACCCTCATGTACCTGCTCAGCGGAATGAAACTTGGGGGTAACCTTGGCCTTCTTCGAGACTCATTCCCCTCGGCCCGGGGAGGAGGCTCCGTGCTCTTTCCCCGCAACCGTCTTGGGGGCCACATCAGCAACGGCGGGGCAGGGCTCCTCCTCCTCATCGGACCCATCCAATTTGACTAGCAGATCGACGAGTCCGCCCTTGTGCTTCTCTTGCACTGGCGTAGTTGGCCGAGGCCCAAAGGTAACTCTCACCCTTCTTGGAGGGGGGGCTCCGTGCCCTTTCCCCTTTGCAGCCGTTGCTGCCACAGGAATGATGACTTGTGGAGGCTCATCCTCTTCGTCGGATTCCGCCTCAACAACGAGCTTCTCAGGCACAACTGCGGAAGAAAAATGTGAGGATAAGCAGAATAAAATACAAAGTAGCAAACATAGACCAGGGAGATGACAGTCACCTAAATATGAGCTGATGGAGTGGGGACCGCCTGCGGACAATATCTCGATGGAGGACTTGAGACCAGGGGAGAGAGCGACCCGGTCACACTTCCGAACCCGTTCACCCCACTGAGGCAGAGGTGACGGGAGGTTGGGGTCGGATACCCATATCCATCTTTTCTTCCACCCTTTCCCTGAACGGGGGTAACCCGATCGAAACAGTTTGCTCACCGGCCTCTGGGAGAGTAAGGCGAAAAAGCTAGAAGCACGCCACTGGAAGCAGCTGAAAAACAGATCAACCGTGGGTGTGAGGCCCACATCCTCACACCGCGCCACAAAAGCGGCAACGAACATATGAGCCGCCGGAGCCAATTGACCCGGGGCCATACCCAGAAAGTGAAGGAACCGAACCAGGAAGGGGTGCAGTGGCACGGCCATCCCTAACTCCAGAGAGCGGATATGGACCCCGAAGTAAGAAGTTGGTGGATTGCTCAATATGTCGGTAGCCCCTGGAGATTCCAACAAACAATCTTGGCCAATCAAACTATATGCAACGGCAAGGTCCTCGTCTTGGCTACGAGGGGGGAGGTCCGCTATCCCGCTATTATCAAGGTCCCACCAAAGATTCGGGTCCTCCCGAGCACCAGAGTCATCGTCGGAATCTGACATGACCACATGTTGTGCCCGCGCTCTATCTGGAACGCTCAGTTGCCGACCCTCAGCAGTAGTGGTCCGCCTAGCTGGAGCCATCTCCGGGAGAACGTCAAACCTGCAAAAAAAAAGAGAAATAACAAAACGTCAAACCGCGGGCTAACATGAAGTGCATCAACACAGGGAGAACCCGCCTTGGCCGCCTAGTGGGTAGTTGTCGGCTTCCTGAGCAACGCCTGTCGGCAGAAGGGCGGCCGCCGGTCCCCAACCCACACTGTCTAGCCAGGGTGAAGCCGAGCACCAGAGGAACTGTTCACGTGGGGCGTCAGGCAGCAGCTTGCAAGTCTTCTCAGATTCCACAAGCAGCTCGCAACAGACTAAGAGGATGGCGGCAACCACCTTGCCATCTAGAGGAAGAAAAGCGTCGGGGCGACCGCCGGACAACGCAGAACCCGAGAAATAGAGAATCCAGTCGGGGCATCCAGTCCAGCACTCCGACCTTAGGCCCGCCACTGCCCGGGTGGCTGCCGGCCTAGAAGCTGCCTCCCTGGATGCCATCGCCCTTGGATGGCGTCGTCGCCCAGAATCTGCCGCCACCGCCTGGAAGCTGCCACGATCTTGGAGTAGTTCAGCCGACCTGGAAGGCTGCACCGCTGGGCAGGGGCACAAACCTGCATGGAGGACTAGCCGGAGGTTTTCATCAACCTCCCCGAGCGAAGTCTTGCTCGACTTCGTCCGCCGGCCGCCAGCTCCCTCAAACGACGCTGACCCGCCGGCCAGAACTGCAGAACTTCGAGAACGACGTCGGCCATTGGGGAAGACAGCCACCAGACTTCTGTAATGCCGGCGAGCCGCACACGAGAACTGCCGGCCAACTGGAATCCGCAAGGCCGACGGATGGCCCGAGAATAGAGCCGCGATTCCAACCTAGAGCCGCGACCGACGACGAGGAGGAGATGGCGGCGCCATCTTGTAGAAGGCGGCCGATCCAGCTTCAAAGTCAACGACTGGATCAGAGGTGCGGCGCCGAGGCTACGCGAGGAAGACGCACGCAGGGAATCGGGAAAGAGAAAAGGAAAGAAAGAAAAAAGGAAAGAAAGGAAAAGAAAAGAAAAGGAAAGGAAAGAAAAAAAGAAGGAAAGAAAAGAAAAGGAAAGAAAAAAAAGAAAGAAAAGGAAGGAATAATAAAACAAAATCCGAAAATAATTTTTGAAATAATAATAATGAATTTCAGGGATTTTTTTGAAGCTGACCTGGATCCTGAAGTCTGGGAGAAAACTTGCTGCTGAAACGCTAGAACGCTGGGGGAATTAATTCGGAGCCTTTTTAAAGCTGGGCATCTTATTCAAAATTTGGAAGTCTCCATAAATTATGAGATTGACAGAATCCACAATTATGGCTCCCTGATATGTGAATATTTTTTAATGGGCAGCTGACCTGAACTACTCCCTCTTAGCCAAGTCTACTACTCGACTAAGGGAGTGGGGGACTCATGATGGGGTTATGGGACCAGGCCCAGAGCCTAATCGGCCCAGGCCCAGAGCTCGAGTCGGCTCAACCAATCAGGGCAATCAAGGAGCGGAAGCCCAAGAGAGCCTGTCGACCAGCCCAGCGGGGAGCCTACCTTCCAGCCTACCCGGGAGCCTGCCTTCCAGCCTACCCGGGAGCCTGCCTTCCAGCCTAGCCAGGAGCCTGCCGACCACCAGCCCAGCTGGGAGCCTGCGGTCCAACCCAACTGGGAGCCTGCGGTCCAGCCCAGGTGGGAGCCTGCCTCCAGCCCGATGGGGAGCCTGCCTTCCAGCCTACCCGGGAGCCTGCCTTCCAGCCTACCCGGGAGCTTGCCTCCAGCCCGGTCAGAAGCCTTCCTCCAGCCTAGCGGGAAGCCCACCGTCCAGTCTAGCAGGAGGGAGCTCAAGCGTCCAGCCTGCCAGCCAGGCTGACCTGCCAGCCAGGCTGACCTGCCAGCCAGGAAGAGTAACGGCCAACAATCAATGCGCGACTTAATTATGTGTTTAATTCCGTATTAATGTTGTAATTAATTTAGTCATTATTATGTTCGGCAGTTACCATTTGTAATCGCCTATAAAAGGCAATTCGAATTTCAAATACAGATATGTTATTTCTGGCTAACTTTCCGTATTCGTACTTTCCTAATTCTTGCTTGAGTGTCGTACGTAGCTTTCCTAAAAGCCTACGAGCGTCCTATTTTGGACCAACAAAAATACGTAGGCAACTTTAATAAAAGTGCAAGCCATTTATATTTTTAAAACGTTACATGATAATTTTTCTAATTCATACTAAATATTTGCACAATCGTCTTTTTTTACATTTTACAACTTGAATAAATAATTTGAAAATAAAAATAAAAAGGAGGGATATTCTGTTCTTGAGTACAACGTCTACCCTTTAGCTAATCATGGAAGCACACTAGTGTTTCAAGTGATTGCGCACAATTGATAAGGATGTTGTCGCGCCGGCACTATTCAACTCGATCTTGTTTAACCACAACGGTTGAAACTAGGCATGAATCCGGACCAAGACTATCCGGTCCGTACCAATTATGGTTGAAGCTCGGGTGCGACCAGGTTATTTCCAGTTCCGTGCCAGTTTTGGGTACCTAGTCGACCCGGTCCCGGTTCTGTTAATTTATTTATTTATTTTGCTGGTTCTAGGCTGAAACAAAAAAAAGTCATCTGTAGGGACAAAATCCGAGATCGGGACCACCCGTTTCAGTCCCTAATAAATTTGTAAACTGGGATCGGTACGCCTCGTGAGGGTACAGGGCCGGTCCTAGGCCCAATACCGGATAAAATGGACTCGGTCTGCGCCCAAACACTGTCGGGCCTGGTTTTGGGTCGGGTCATCGGATTGGGTCTATGCCTAGTTGAAACCAACATTGTTATATCTTGTTTCGCCATTGTTGATAATATGGGAAAACATTGATTCTTTGTCTTTCTATCATGTTAATATATCAAATTCCTCACATATTACATTGTATAATAGATAATAAAAAACTACGTTGACTTTGATTTCTCTATCATTATAAAGAGAAAACGCACGCAACTTCAATAAAAATGAAAGTAAATTATAAAATGTTATGCACTACCTTCGTCCCATACAAAGATTCATGTCCACTATTCTTCAAGTCAACGTAAAGTCTTTTTAATCATTTACTTTATATATCTAAGTTGTATTAAATTTGAGCTTTTCTTTTGCAACGTTATAAAATTTATAATGTAGTTTGTGAATACAACGTATGTAAATTTTATTTACTAAAAAAATCTAATCACAAATAGGGATTAATTATCTTTATGGTCAGTCAAATATCTTAAACCGTGTGAGTACCTGTCTACGAGATGGAGTGATTATTTATTTAAATTAGTTACATTTATTTACTAAATGTTAGCACAATTTTTTTTTTACTTTTTTCACTTAGAATAAATGATGTTAAAAAAGGGTGAGGTCAGATGAGATCGAATCAAAACGGTCCGATCGACTGGAATCAGTTTGGAACCACACGATATAGCGGATCAATTCTGGGCCCATTTTTTTCTCGGGGACCGGGCTTGAATCGGCCCGAGTCCACCCCTTCTCTTACCCTTTGATGTACACAAAAAAGTTAAGTTTTCAAGAGAACAGAAACAGAAAATTAATCCCTAAAAATGATTTCCAACTTAATTATTATTTTTTCAATTATGAATTTCCAGAAAACAAAAAAATATGTTTAGTTTCCGGATACACAACTATGATTCAATTCAAAATGAACCTAGCCCTATTAACAATAATAATAATAATAACAATTAAAAATAACTCTCATGTTTAGTGTGATTTTAATCTGTTATACATAGTAATATATAGGGTATTTATAAAAACATAGGACTTCTTGATCATGTTAAGTACGGTTGCCTCTTAATGCGAGTGATTTCTTTTTTTACGGGAGTGTCATGCATCAGTTGCCAAAATGAGGGAGTTTTTTTAGGTTTTCTAAAAAACGGGAAACATGTTTGTGTAATCTGAAATATGTAGGGTTTACTTGGGTGCGGTAGGGAAAGTTACAAAATGGATTCTAGGAATCCGATATTGGGGTTTAGTGAGGGGCGGACGTACATGTACATCAATGGGGGCATGTGCCCCCAACAACTTGTGAACTTTTAGTGTTAATACGTAGGATATACATAGGATTTTAATATAAAAATTGGAAGTGCCCCCAATTAAAAATTAAGAGTGTGCCCAACTCTTATTTTACGAAGAAGTGAAAATACCCTCACCAAGCCAATCTTCCAAATGCAACTAATGAAGTAAAGAATTTTGAAGGCTTCCTTTTGTTAGTCTTTATTCTTCTTTAGTATTGTATTTTTGTATCCCGTATATTTTACAAAAATGTGACCTAAGTTATTATGAAATTTTTTCCTGGAGAAAATGAACTCTTGATTTTCAATCGGGAAGATCGTCAAATGATTTTTGAAGTTAACTGTGTTTTATATGTATATTTTGGGCACAGTTATCTTCCAAAAATCATTTGAGGACCTTCCCGATTGAATTTTTAGCTGAATTATTTTTTGGATAAACTAGACTTGATGAAGAACACGCCATAAAAATTTAATCAAAAAATTCCACCGAATAGGGCCCCAATTCCCAAATGAAACCGTCCGGACGGCGGTTCCGGTCAGGAATTCTTGACCGGAAGAGTACTATATATATAAATATAAAAAGTATAAGTTGTTAGATTAATTTTGAAGTTTTTTTTGCATTAGTTTTAAAGCTGTACATTTGATTAATATTTGTTGTAAAATTTTTAAATGATGCCCCCAATAATATCTTTTCCTAGAGGTTTAATTTTTTTACGTATGAGTGGGCTTCAGTAGGTTTTTTTTAACGGGAGTGCCTTGCTTCAGTAGGTTTTATTTTAAAAGATTTTTTAGGTTTTTTTGGATTGTTTATTTCCTTCTTTTTCAAAGAGGAAAACACAAATATTTCAATAAAAATTTGTGAGTGGGATAAATAATAGAGCATATGAAGCATAATATGTACAAAACTAAATAATTTAGTGATATTTATAGTTGGAAAGATACGTATTATTTTATTAAATAATTTAGAAATGAGGTAAGGGTCGGATTGATCCTCAAAGTTGCTAAAAAGGGGTCAAACAAGTCCTTATAGAGGAGACTCTGTCCGACCGTCGCCATTCGGGCGGTTCCCGGTGGAATTTTTTGATGAATTTTTTTGAGCATCTTATTCATTAAGTCTAGTTTACTCATACCAAATTTCATCTAAAACAATAATCGGGAAAGCATTCAAACGAAGTCTTTAAGATAACTGCGCAGTTAAAAGCGCATTTACCTTCAAGAATTCATTTGAATGCCTTCCCAATTGAAGTTTTTGCTGAAATTTGGTATGAGTAAACTAGACTTAATGAATAAGTTTCTAAAAAACTTTCATCAAAAAATTCAATCGGAAATCTCCCCAAATGGCGATGGCCGGACAGTAAGGACTTATTTGACCCCTTTTATGCAATTTCATGGACACGATTTACAAATGAAAGGGATATGCGTCCGAGTAGGAGAGCACAAGAGTAAAAATTTATATGTATTTTGTAACTCTTTTCAATGAATAAAAATTTGTATTTC